TTAAAGAGCGTAACAACCCGAGAGAGCTGCAAATTCTTGCAAGTAAAAATTTTACTAGCAGGAATTTGTAGGAGTCAAAAAGTAAGGTTATGTTTCAAATTCAAATGTAAACAAACTGTTTAAGAGGATGATTTGATGAAACATAATTAGTGAAATGAAAATATGGATGAAAAATTTAAATCTATTCTATACTTTTTTATTTTTATGACGATGGGAACTATTCCCAATTAAAAAGAAAATTGCGCGCTAAAACTTAACCGTCAAAATGGCTTCAGCTGCAAGTTTTTAATAGTTTTGCGTTCAATAACTTTTTCTGAAAATTTTCTCTTGGTCTAAATTTTACTCTATTTTTCTTTTACGCTTTCGCCGCAAGTACTTACTGGAAAAGTTATTGAATGTACCTAATATTTCAGTCTTTTTTGTTTTCATTACATTTTCATCGAAGTTTTAAAAAAGTCGCCTACTTTTTTCTGACATTTTGTGCTGCACAGCTTTTTTGATGCTTTTGCGAGCGTGCCTGCTGCAATAGATCGGCTTTTCCTGAATTGGCTTTTAATGTGCAATTGCAAACATTACAGCAAGCCTCGTAACCTCAAGTGTTTACACAACCAGCCTTTGAACACGGGATCCTTAGTCCAAGAATCCAGAAAAAATCTTTTGAAGCAGCTGCAGCAAAACACAAAGATTGTAAAGATTTATTAGGAAAATAATTCAAAATCAGTTGTACTGATAAGATTTAGTAACAAAGAAAAATTACTGGCAAGTTAAAAAACGTCTTTTTTACACAAAAAACGTCCAAACGTCAATTCCTTTGAAAGGAATTGAAAATGTAATTGATTTTTTTCGAATTCCATTCCTCAAAGAAATTTAAAAAGTAATCGAAAAATTTAAAAAAAAAATTTACTGTTGAATTGCAATAGCTTTGTTAAATTTCTTGGTTGCTAACTGCCTTGAATAAATAACTTACCTAAGTAGTATTACTAATTGGACTTTAAGAAAACTGAATAACTTAAACTGTGGCTTTTCAGTTTATAGGGTAACGGTAAAATTTTCCAGATCCTACCGCGAACGCGCTTCGCGGCAGATCAGACCCATAAATGTTGGAGCAGGCATAACCCGCCCGGACTGTTGCTGCCTTTGGCACTGCTGTTCTCTTGGACTAATCCCTGCGTATCTATAAAAATGCACTGACTTAATTGTGTATATTATGGTACCCTTAATTCTACCCAAAATGGCGTGCCTTCTGGGGCCTTTGAAGTACTCTTACTGGTATCTTGCGTTACAAATGAGGATAGAGTCCGCTTGAATTACGAGCCCTGTCGGACTGGAGATCCTACCTCCTAAGAGTTTTATAAACAAATTTCATTGCTATGGCTAAATTATGATGATAACACTGTAACGACGCTAAACGCCGAGAGACGTAAAATTAATTTTAAGTAGTATGTTACGAATCTGTATACCGTTTTTTGGGCAAGGTCATTTAGTCAAGTTATTTTCATTTTAAGTTTTTATTGCGAATGGAAAAAATTCAAACTTTAATATGGTCATACGGCCATTTATGATATGGCGTATGAGTAACATTATTTCCTGCTAGTATTTCATACAAATAATCTAAATTATAGTTTAAAAAACTAAAACCTTTCTATTATAATTGCCATTAGCACTGTCATCATGTATGTAACTTGAGAATAGAAATCGCTGCATCTTTTAGGCGCATCAATATTACATAGTTACATCCCGAACTAATAAAAGGAAGGTAAAAATTATTGCACTTTCTCTTAACCCTTGCAAACTTGTTTATTTATCCATAGATTTTCATCGTTAGTAGTGTTTTAAGCCGCAAAGCAAGCAGATATTGGCTAGTCTATACTAATATATATTTTGAAAACCGTTTTTTTCTGTTCGCAAATTTTCGCAGATTTTCCAAGGATGGTTATAGGCTAAAAAAAAAAGTTTCGATATAGAAAGGGGGCGTGGCACCTCCCATATAAACGGAATTTTTCAAACTGCATATATTTGTGGTAGAGGACTAGAACTGGGTATGGGGATATATACATGTATAAGATCAATTCCATACTCATGGAGAAAAATTGGCATGGTTGGAGAATGGGGCGTGGCAGCTCCCATATAAACTGAACTTTTCATATTGAATATCTCTGGAAGTGTTCATTGTAAACTGTAAGCCTTTTTAAAACTCTTTAGTTTGACACCCACATGTCAACATTTCATTTACTTTATCAATTTAACTGAGTTACAATTTCGAAATAGGTGGCAGCCCCCCTAAAAAATACAGTTATCTTTCTTAAGCCTCTTTAATTTGATACCCATATTGTAATATTTTATTTATTTATCAATGTAATTTAGTTAAATTTTCAAACAGATGGCATATAAGATGGCAGATGGCAGAAAACACATTTTCGGCAGTAAGCTTTCTTAAAACTCTTTAGTTTGACACCCACATGGCAATATTTCACTTATTTTATCAATTTGACTGAGTTAAAATTTTCAAATAGGTGGCAACCCTCGTCAAAAATACTTCCAACAGTTATCTTTCTTAAACCTCTTTAACTTGATACCCATATTGTAATAATTCATTAATTTTATCAATATAATTGGGTTTAAAAATTTCAAAATAGGTGGCAACGCTCCAAATTTTTGCGATATCATTGGTTCTGGTATTATACCGAATAATAAAAAAAAAAATATTCAAATCGATTCAGCCGTTCTCGAGTTTTGATGACCGTGACATACGAACACAACATTTTTATATATACAGACAGACATACATAGAAGATGTCCAATTTGTGCTTTCGATTTTAATCTTTGACCACAAAAAAAAATTCCACATTGTACATTCGTGAATGAACTTTCAGTTTCTCGATTACTTTTACAATTCCTTTGAGTAATTGAAAAAACTAAAGTACTCTTGCAATTCCAAGTAATGCAATTGAAAAAAACATCAATTACATTTTCAATTCCTTTCAAAGGAATTGGAAAAAAAAATTACATTACTAGCACGTAATTTATTACAATTACAATATGAAATTCTTGTAGTGGAATTAAAAAAACAAAACAATTACATTTGAAATTACTTCAAGGAATTGAGTAAGTAATCGATTCCTTTGCTGTGGAGTGAAGGAATTGATTCCTAATTACAATTCCTTGTAATTTTTAAATGGGAGTAATTTAATTCCTAAAGGAATCATTACGACCCAGCTCTGTGTCCCACAATACCAATTTACTACTAACAACTCAACTATAATCGACTATGTGATAATAATAATAATATTTTGGCGCTTACACTTTTCCTAAGTATTTAGCCAAGCTTCTCCTTCAATTTGTGGTGTGCTTCTTGATGTTGTTACACAAATGGGGTGACTTGAGGCCCCGTCAGATAGAACTTCTTTTCTGTGTCACAGGGATGCTTTAGACTGACAAGACGCACAGAACAAGGCGATACCGCACAATGAAAACGTTGCCGCAAACAAACCGGCTCAATTTGATTGGCCAAAAGTCAGTAACTTTTTTGACTTTTTTGTTTTTGTTTTCAACTATGTATGTATGCTTGCAAGGTGCTCCTTTCAATTATGTATGTGTGCTTGCAAGATGTTTCGGCTTCGGATTCGGCTTCGGCCAAATTCCAGCTTCGGTCGGACACTAGTAAATATTATTAATAATCATAAAGTGGAAATTGTTACAATCAAGCGCACAACGTCTGTTTGCAAGAGATCATAATAAAACTGCACATAAAATTGCTTAGAGTGATGAGCGAAATCGATTTAATCATACCTAATTAACTTACCATACGTTCAAAAGTTAATTCCAGCATAAATAAGTTTTTAATCACAATTACGTTTACTTCTTTAATCATAATTAACTCTTATCCGATTAAATCTAATCTAATCAACTAATTGGTTAAAAAATGAATCGGTTGAGGCCAACTCTAAGCAAAAGTATGTATTTTTATGTGGTCGTGTGACAGCGAAACTCCGCATGGCCGACATTCAGTGCAAGGTCAAATATTTGTGTAATACGTACCTATGGATGTATGTATACAAACATACATGTATTCGAAAAGCTTTGTGGCGCGAAAACTATATAAATATATGTATGTAAATTATCGTGTATGTATGTATTTATGTTTATATATATATTAAACAAAGCAGGGGAAAAATAGCATATTTTACTATTACAAAATGAACATACAAAGGCCATACATTTTAGACTTAATGAGCTCGTTCAAAACTCTTGAACTCAATAAGTAGCATATCGTAAGAGATTAAAAAATATACGCGTATGTATGTATGTATCTATTTATATATGTGTTGTCCTCTAAATGTGAATTTCGAAACAATTTGGCGGAGTATTTCAACAAGATTTATTTTATTTATTGTAATGTATTTTCAATGTTTGACGTCTGAGGTTCAATAGATGAGCTGGAAAAGCGATAAATGATTGTTCAAACATATAATTTTAAAACATTTCTATAACGATCTGACATATTTTGTATTGGCTCTCGGAAGAAGTTTGTTCTGAGCGGGTATTTGAATTTTGTTATTTCCTCACCAACCAGTGCCCAACTCAATTTTTGAAAAAAAATATTAATGAAAAAACAGAGGAGTTGCAGCAAATGCATAACTAATACAATGTTGCTTATAGCCACAGGAAACCCATCTTTAGTAACAACAGGTTCTTATGGCGTCATTTAAAGTTCAGATATATATTATATAGATATTTTTTTAAATTTGCTAAAAACTACAAGAAAACAAGTTTTGTTAAGTTCTACAGCTAACATTTTTCTATGATTTTTACTTAAAACCGATTTTCCTTTAATCAATCCTAAATTTAAAACACGTTTAGAGTTAAGAATATGCCTGGTTATCGGGTTACCTAGAAAGTGATAATCTAAACAGTTAACATTAAAACCAGGAAGGTGTAAACACCTACATGTATTACGCTATTTAAAAAAAAAATCTATTTAATTTTTTGTTATCTTGCAGGTCGAACAATTGGAGTCTCAAATACGCGAACTTACACAAAAACTCAGCGAATCGAATGCTAAGCGCGACAAATTTGAAATGGAGCTGAAAGCTTCAATTGACAAAATATTTGTTTTGCGTGAAATTATCACCGAGTTAGAGACACAAGTGGAGACAAAGGCGCTCAATGAACATGTGCTGAGTGAGAAGAATATGGTGAGCCACCATAAAAACATGTAGAAACTAATTTTTGAATATGAATCTCGTTTTTTATTTTATTTAAATTCTAGCAATTGGAAGATTATATAAATACCCAAACACGCTCAAATGAGACGTTACAGCACGAGGTGCATAGTTTGAAATTAGAAATTGGCGAAGGTTATCAGGAGCGTATACGATTTCTAGAGGAGAAATTACAAAACATGCGCCCATCTGCAGAGCAGAGCATTGTGTTAGATCAAGTGGTAGAGCAGGTGAAATAGTGTCCATTTCAATGGAATTCAATTAAATTTTTGTGTTATTTATTTGATTTTATATATTTTTTTAATCTACTACACATCGCTAATGATTAACTTGTTTTCAGCTTCGCGATATTGAGAATATCCTTGACCAGAAAACTAAAAATCTCGAATCAGTGCATCATTCAATATCTTCAAATGCCAATAGCGCTACTGAGGACGTATCTGTAAATGGCGCACGTCCAGCCAACTCATTGCCATCAACAGGTGGAACAAATAATCCATCAATAACCACAGTGCCAACTCTAGGCTCACCGCTACATCCTTCGCCACGTCAACATTCGCTCACCATGGAGGGCGTTCAACGTATTGCCGACAGAGTCGCCAAACATACACGCGTCGAGGAGGCAGCCGTTAAACGTATACGGGATTTGGAAATGCAAGTCACTCAAATACGTGATTCCTGTGTGGTGAGTTTCAAACTTTTTACTCACGTATTTCCTTCGGCGCGGAAAGCACTTTTGGCGTTAAAAGATGTTGTAATTGAAAATTTAAAAACCATGAGCTTTTATTAAGTGTACGTGTGTACATATTAGGAATGTTAATCTCGAAAATCCCGGGATTATTGGCAAGTAATCCCGGGATTTTCGGGATTTCTAATTTGGACTGATGGCAATAATAGAAACTCCTTTTCTTGACCAGAATTGGCTATATTTATTTTTTTTATTTAATAATTAATATTTTTTTAGAAATGTCTAGCTCTTTATGCATACAACACCGCGTGATAGTAAATGTTAAACACAAATTTCAATATATTCGCTAAACCATGGGACAAATATAGTAAAATTGCGTTTTTAGTTGTTCACTCTGACGTCAGTAATTCAGAGAAATGTGCTTAGAGAAGAAGTATGGGTATAAAATTAATGAGGAAATCCTGTAGAATTTAAACAGATTCAAGTTTCTGGCAGTGATCGGACTTCTACAAGGTCTGAAATCTACCACATATTCACGTTTTTGAGTACCTAGTTTTATTTTTGCTCGACATAATTTTCTTAATTTTAAGAACAAAAATTGTCCAACACAAAACACTATATGGCCACAAGAATGATATAATACAAGATTCGGCATCCCCGGCGGCGATGAAATTTCTCAAATAAAAGTAAACAAAGCCGAATGGGAAGATATAATAAACTGTAAAATAGTAAATTTTCTCAATAATATATTTTTGGACAGGAAACGTGGTTTTGTTACGTTAAATTTTAAAATATATGATTTATAAAAAAAAAAATTATAAATTTATAAAAAACGGCAATTTTTGCGAAAGTTTTAGCAAATTTCAGTGAATCTAAAGTTTCTGAAGCGTTGTTTATATTTACTTGAGAATTGTCAAAATCGGAAAATCACAAGTAGCGGTTTCTGTAACGTGCCACATTTGTTCGCTACATCGTGATGTGATTGATTGAAACGCTGGCAGCACTCCGCAAGATTGCAAAAAAATTTATGTTCGAATATTTTGATATGGAAGGAACCGCATTACACTGTCAAGGAAAAAATTGCCAAAACTCAATGCAATTTTTAGCAACTTCAATCTAGCACTTTGTTATACTAAAATTATTTTTTCCAGATTCTACCACACAGAATTTTTTCAAGTCCGATCACTGGTTTCTGGTAAAGAAGGGCTGGTAAATATTGAAAATGCCATTTTAAAATTTTATCCTTGAAATTTCGCAGTATTTGTTTTTGAAAAAATTATACGTTAAGGGCTTATATAAACTTGATAACATCCTCGAATTTCGTTCTTCAAACTTTGTCAGCATACAAATTACGTATTCGTCCTTGTGAATCCAAAAAATTTAAATTTTTTAAATTCTAAAGAAATTTCCTATTGCATTTGTTACCCATATTTTTATTCTACATTGCATTGAATTATTTTAATAATTTTTGGAATTAATTCTATCTTTGAAATTACAAAGTCCTTTAAAATAAATCCTTTGGTCAGAGAGAAAAAATAAAAACGCCACTTTAAATAAAAAAGTAGGTTTCAAACCCATTTATTTATTATTTATTTCATGGCAGGAGAGCTTATCAAACAATATAGAAGCAATTTTTTCGATTCGAGTTCTTGAAAAGTAATGAATATGTAAATCCCGGGACTAATCCCGGGATTGTGACAACGCCATCCCGAAAATCCCGGGATCGGAAAAAGCCGAAAAATTAACATCCCTAGTACATATACATATGTACCTATAGATATATTTATGCGATCTGTGGAATGAAAGTGAAAGCGAAATTCTGCTTGCATATACATACTTATTCCTTTTCAGAATCCACCTCATAAATGAGCATCTGATTGTGTGCTCTCCCAGCTTCTTGAAAAGTGGCCAATATGTTTTTTTTCAAATATTTTGGCATTATTTGAGTACACTTGCCCCAGACTGTCTACTTCGATATCAGTGTAAATGTAGGAGGGTGGGTATAGTATTGTTGTATTCGCACTGTTGTTGGGTATACTCGCGCTCATCGGCTGCTGCGGCTTGCTTACCGTGGACCATCGGCGATAGCTGGCAACTGCGTGCGCGCAATTTAGTTTGCTCGCTGTTGTGATGAGGTGAACGCGTCTGTTTAAGTAAATCTTATTGTTGTGTATTTGAATTGTTATTGAAGCTTTTCTATGCACCCACAGTATTGCTCTTACAACTTTAACGGATTTCATCAATTAAGAATCGCAAACGTTTCTTATTCGATGAAATGAATTATTAAAAAAAAAAAATCGCATTGAATTGGAATACGTTAATAAAAAGCCTGCCGAGCGAAGTTCAATCAGTATACCAAAGGCGTTGTTGCTTTCAGATTCAGTCCGATGAGGGTAAGCTTATGTTTGAAAACAAAGAACAATTGATGATTATAACAGCTAAAATAATTTATTTTCTAAAGGAAATTGAATATTTCAAAACAAACTACGCAAATTGAGTCTCGTCAAAAATTGACAATATCAGTAGTTTTTAGCTTTCTCAGAACCATCTGAAGTTTGAATAGTTTATGATACGCCCGTGTGGTTTGCTTTTGCTTAGCTTTCAGTAGTAAAAGTACATATGTATGTATGTATCTGTCGACCCCATATATGTAATACTTCTATATTGATAGTAACGTATGTATCTTCACAATGTGTTTTTATTCCGCAATGAAGGGGAGACAGCCTATCAAATAAGTTTTTGCTTGTGTTAGTACAAATGTATATTTGTGGACTACTACTAAAAAACAACTGTCGTCACTCCAGGAGCGGTTTAAATAAAAAATAATAAATAAATAAAAATAAACGACCAAAATTTTATCCTTGAAAGGGAGAGGTGCAAGCTTTGTGGTAGCCGGCGGATATAAAAGTAACACTTGAGGTAATCAGCGTAACCACTCTTAAAAGATATACTGTGAGGTTGCGTGCTTTCCGTTCCAACGCCTTGGCCAAGATGTAGCGTCTGCCCGTTTTCCCCGATACGGCTCATTTTCAAGTAGTACAAAATACTGATGCGTGCAATAAGATTTCATTTTCCTTACTTGTTTTGCTTGTGCAAACCGCACAATTCCGCACTATTTTATTGTTTTGCTTTTAAAATTAAAATTTAATTTTGTAAAATATTGACTATTATATATTACTGCACCGCTCGTGATTTTTTATTGTTTTTAAACGTTATTGTGGGTACATTGGCTGGTTGGTTTTCTCGTTCTAACGTTATATATCTGCACTCTAATGTTGGCGGATGTACTTTGAACCGTCCGAAAACATTCCCACCAGCAAAAAGATTCACTTCTGAAAAAAGTAAGCGAGTTAGTAATAGATCGCGGGGCAGGGAACGAGGTCATTTCGTTGTAAGAGAAAACAATTTTTTGTTTTTGTCCTTTTCAAGAAATTTTAATACTAAATTCATATGAACCAGTGTAGCGTTCAACTGATGGAATCATATCCCTGCATATGCGAGTTGCTGATTTCTAAACTTCCTAAGAAGATGCTCAACTGATCGTTACAGATTCATTTCCTAGCTATTAGCTTTTGCTACCCCAGTAGCAAAATAGCAAAAGTGAGGGCCTAACTACTGAATTCTTTGATGAATTTTAACACGGCCAATGTCCTACGAAATTCATATCTTACAAAATTGCAATGCTGGGAATATCAGTTTATCAGTTGTTTGCATATCTGACTCGCGTATGCAGGGATATGTTTCCATCAGTTGAGCGCTACACTGGTTCATATGAATTTAGTATTAAAATTTCTTGAAAAGGACAAAAACAAAAAATATTTTTCTCTTACAACGAAATGACGTCGTTCTCTGCCCCGCGACCTATTACTAACTCGCTTACTTTTTTCAGAAGTGAAACTTTTTGCTAGTGGGACTGGGTTACAGTACAGATATACGTACACATACACAAAAACGGTACTAGACTGTCTCGTTTTGATTTCGGAATGCTTACACATTGAGAAGTTAGCTTACTGCCAATATAGAAGTATTACATATCGATGGCTGAGTGGAAGATCGGCCTATCTCGGCAGCCAGTTCAAAAACGCCCTATCTCTGAAAACTTTTCAACAATGCCCTATTTCAGAATTTTATTGAAAACCACCCTATCTCAGAATTTGATTGGAGAAAGAAAAGGCGTTTTTGAATCGGCTGCTGAGATAGGGCGTTCTTCAAGCAAATTCTGAGATAGGGTGTTTTTCAATAAAGTTCTGAAATAGGGCGTTCTTTAGTCAAATTCTGAAGTAGGGCGTTGTTGAACAGTTTTCTGAGATAGGGCATTTTCGAACTAGCTGCCGAGATAGGTCGATCTTCCACTGAGCCATCGATAAATGGTCGAGTCTAAATTATTGGACTCCCATATAATGTTTTAATTATTATCAAAACCTGGAAGTAGTTTAAGTTTCCATTTCAATAAATGCTTACTAAATATATAAACCGTTTGTATGGAAATTCACAATTTTTCCATATAATATCAAACCTAAAATCAAATAAGTGGTTTAGTCACAATTTCGCAGATACCGCTTGCTTAGAGTGAAAAGTTGCTAAGTTCACTTTTTCCAAAAAATGTACGCTTTGATACCAGATGCAGATTATTGAAAGCGCATCGTTTTCTAAAACACCGAGCTACCTATTTTATTTCTAAACGTTTTTATTCAGTGAAACGCAAATTTGGTAAGTCTAAAGTAATCACAAATAAGCCGCAAGGAATGCAACAACTTTTCATCAACATTTTAGAATTTGATTCGTTTGGTGTTGGTTTAGCTTGGAGTACGTGAAAACTTATATTTTAGCAAAACAAGAAAATTCGTTTGAAAGGTTCTTTTTCTCATGTAAAATTTGAGAAACTGGACTTAACCACTTTTCACTCTAAACAAGCGATGTATTTTTTGTTCATTTTATTTGTGTTCATATTTAAAACTATTTAGGTGCCTTCTCTCTATACCTCAGTAATTATTTAA